CTTTTTTGCCAATTGTCAGGTACTCGTGGCGGCTATCAATACAGTGCCAGCCACCGATTCTTCAGGCAAAGAAAAAAATGTGGCATAGAGTTAGTCCTCCTTGCTAGGAGTTGGTGCTATACAGCAGAAGTTTGACCCAGTGGTAAACCATCATATGTCATGAATTGTTCCAATCCGATCATATGATCAAAAATCAGAGCCTACCATGGGATTTCCAGCTGATGTGCCTCCCTAAAAACAGACTGCAAATTTGGAAGGCCCTGATGTTATCTCTGGTATGATTGGAAGTGAGTGTTCATGTTTCCTGACATCCTCCGTGATCAACGAAAACAAACAATTTGAAGGTGGAATAACAATCTGAGTTATTATTAATGGCATGATTGTTTATGTGTGTGTGTGTGTGTGTGTGTGTGTGTGTGTGTGTGTGTGTGTGTGTGTGATGGCAGAGAGTCTGTACATGGCACAGTTTCAGCAGAACGGGACAGAGGGGAGAAAGGATTGGGGGTGGGAGGGAAGAAGAAACCTGTTCCCTTTTTTCCTGTCTCTAACTCCACTCTGCAGTGCGTTTCTCATTGTAAAGTCATACCTGTCTCGTCATTGTTCTTTTCGGGGTGTGCCAGGAGAGCGAGACTGGGAGGTGAACAGCCCTTGACCGCTCAGGTATTTTAATTGAGAGGGTGGGGGGGTTTGGCAATGATGTTTCTCACAAATATCAGCCAGTTTCGTCTTTTAAGGGAGTGTAAGGAATACACACGAAAGATTGAAAGTTTTCTTGCTGCTGCATTTAAAGAGCAACCTGCATGCGGTCTTCCATCTCTTCCACCGCAAACCACGACCTGAAATGGCTGGCGAACAGTGCAGGGTGTACCCGGCTTTTCACCCAAAGTCAGTTGGCATCGTCTCCAGTTCGGAACACTTTTGTCAACGTCGTTCAAAAGAAACTTAACAGTTTCATTTGCTCTGGCCCATGACAGGTTACCGGATTGTTTTGCATTACGGACACCTGATTGTTTTGCCGGCTTTAATAAAATTCATAACATTCCCATCAACAACAAAATTCTTTCCGTGGTGATGGGCTTCAACTCTGAACATTTTTGTCAATGTCATTCAAAAAAGAAAGTTAGCGGTTTTGTCTGAGCTGACATTATAACAGGTACCCGATTGTTTTCCCATTATAGGAACACTTTGTTGACTTTGAGGGTGCGTAATATGCGGTGTCCTAAACTGAACTCTGTCAGCTGAAATAAACTTCAGCTCACCCGTAATGCTAATGAGGACAAGGCCAATTGAAATTGGATGCATCTAGTGTGTGTACATGACAGTGTTACTTTGCCCACAATGTTGTCAACTTTTTCCCAGAATGTGATGGACCAGTTCAACCCCAGCCTGAGGAACCTGGTCAACTTGGGGAAGAACTATGAGAAGTCAGTCACAGGTAACACACAGGACTCACTTTTACTTTTATTGATGGCATGTCCAATGTGGCAAACAAGTGGTTCGCTCATCTGCCTGTCAGCTCCTTTGGACTGAGCCAATAAGACACACGGCGTGTGTGGATGTGCGCAGGCTTCACTCACTGTTTTTCCTGACGATGAGACTGAAGGAGGTCTGCAGCTTGCTGATGTCATTGCGGATGCTGATGTCCAGGCAGTGAACCCCGGTGGAGGTGAAAGTGTGATTGAGCCACAAGGTGTTCTCGTACAGTACGGTCAGCGTGCAGCCCCCCGTCGTTTCGGGCACGCAGCGGGGAAGGAAGCTCCAACACACCCACATGGGGGGACTACAGGGGAAACACAGCGATCTCAGTTTCTTCCTTGAGGTCGTACAAAGCTCGGAAAAACTAAATGTCACTTTTACCTTCCATCCACGTGGAAAGCAAGGCCGGTGGTTTGAGACACCTCGTAATTGGAAGGCCCCTTCAACTCAATGCTTTTAATGGCGTCTACAAATCAATTTACACACACGTTAGTCAAAATGTAAAAAAATGTAGGATGATCTCATGCACAACTGAGATATTTACTGTCTTCACTTTTATTTTATTTTTAAAAAATTTATATATATATATATATATATGTTTTTAAGTGTAGAGTGTGAGTCCACTACAAACCAAGAACTTGAATATCCTTGGAGTAGATTCCAGTTAATGCAGGCGTGTATTTGGACATATTGACTCCAATTTTCAATCGGAGTGTGTAGTTTCCAGACAAAGCGTAGTGGTAGCGGACAACAGGCTCATTCCCCTGGATTACCTCTCTGTGTTTCCATAAATAAAATACTCATCAGAAACAATGCCAAACTTTTTGGAATGATTTTGGATTTTGCAGAGCAGTCCTCATACCCGTTCCCTAAATCCCACGTGAAGCTGAAGTTCGCCGTGCTGAAATTCTGATGGGGATCAGAAAGTTCGAACATGGTCTCGGTGGGAATGTCTGACGCCAGCTCTCCTTTGTCTCTCACATAGGTGGCGTTGCCATCCATTTGATAGAAGACCAGCTTCCCGGCAATAGTTTCTGATTAAAAAAAGATGACATGTCATCGGTGCATGCAAAGAGGGAGAAAGTGATGTTCAGCTACCTAAATCTGTCAGAGGCCTGTCAGATTCCGCCACACCCAGGAAAATCCGGATGAAAAGCAACAACAGTGTTCTGCAAACGCATCATCAAGTTAATGAACCTTCCGAAACATACAAACTGTCTGAATCAAATTGTACCTGTCCATATTTGCTGGTTGTCTCCTTGAGATGCCCTCAAGGACGTAAAATTGAAGTCAAATCCAGCGGACGAAGATGGCAATGTGTGTCCAGGACTTCTGAGCTCCTCTTAGCTTCCCATCATCTCGGTTGAAGGCTTGAAATTGACACCGTGAAATGCAGTCATGTGCCCTCCCTACAAGAGCAACAACCTACTTTTGAGCCCTGAACATAGTAATGTGGCGTTTCTGCTCATATTGTTGCTGAGATTCATGTGTTTCATTTGGGGGAAAGAAAAAACAGAAAATATTCTGGTCCACATGATGTAGAAATGTATATCAACTGTGGGAAGAAGCCCATTCAAATGTTCACTTCAAAATTCAAACCCAGAGTCTCAGAACTGTGAGACATACAGGCTAATCATTTGTTCAGCGTGCGACAACCACACTTTCACACAATGCTTCGAAATTAATTTGGTTTGCGTTGCAAGCAAAAAGAATAAAAAAATAAAATGATGTGGGGAAAACACTTGCAAATAGCACTGCGACCTTATCCATATCTGCATTTATATTGCACTTAATTGAACGGTGTTTGTTTTCTTTTCTTCTTTCTTCTTTCTACCCACAATCTTGCTGCTGTAGACTGTAAATTTCCCCAGTGTGGGACAAATAAAGGATATCTTAGTAAAAAAAAAAAATTATAATTGGCTGTAGCCTTGAGTTTCAGATTTTCACCGCTAGATGGCGGCAGATAAATGAACAACACCCGCCCACCATCAATTCACATGGTTACGTGACAGTCAATGTTTTTTTCCATCTTCTTTTTTTTTTTGTGAGGGTATTTTTGCCCATTCATTTCTTCCTCTTTTATCCCCCGAACCGCAGGTCTTAAAAACTGAGCGTTGAGACGAAGAACCGGATGAAAAAACAAGAACTGGATGTGCAACTCAGCGTACTTTTCGTACGGCATCGACTTCCAGTCTGTTTTACTGTTGATTCGTGAACTTCAGTGAAAGTCAATTAAAACAGTAGCAACTGAGGAAAAAAATTGTTTAGTTATGTTTGTTTTCTGCACTGCGTTATTGCACAGTCCTGTTTTTCTCATTAGAACACGTTGCAAAAAATGTTTTGGGGTGAGCATGGCCGAAGAACGAATTAAACTCGTAAATCAAGGCGCTATGATGCATTTTGTGGGACTCATCAGCTGAGTCGACACTTGTGACGTCACGGCCCCACCCCCTGAGTAAAATCTCTCTGCGTCCCAGCTGGTGAGTGAGTCTGCAACAAGCCAGTTTGTCTTTCTGCGTGCACGCACGCTGCCAGTGGCGCATGGCATGCCGGGACTCATTCTCGTTCTCTGGTTTCGACTGTAAGGATTTACCACCTGGATTATAATTCTTAATTTTGATGTAATTTTTTTTTGGGGGTCATTCGCTTACCTGGAGAAACCACGCGCAACATGTCCGGGACCCCGCAGGACGTGAGCAAGCTCACCGAACTAACTTACAAGGTGAATCTCACAAGTGTACAGGCATAAATTATTGTATTCGTTTGTGTGATTTGAAATGGGGAATTGGCTGTTATGATGTAAAGTTTGGATCCTAAAATCCCTTCAAAGCAGGCAACAATTTAAAAATATGCAACCTGCACTTTTCGGTGCTTTCATTTCCCCTTGTTGCCTTATGACGCTTCATAGTTTTCAGGTTGTTTAAAACACGTTCGACCGAATCGCTGAAATATTTAGCTGTCAACAACAAGCAAGACCATGCTAGAATGTCACTCCCTATTATCATTCCCTGCTGGTGCGTCAGTTTGTTAAGTGTGCCACTTGTGATCACAGTGTGCCAATCATTGTTTGTTCTTCCGATAGATTGTGCCCAGATGGGATCAGTGATCAGTCGCTGATGGGTTTTAAATTTGCCGATTTTTTCCTGTGTGTTAATCTAATCCGGTGGTGGCCAAATGTTTGCCTCTTAGAACATAGCGAATAGAAGGGTGCAAGAGCCACTTTGACAGTCTTCAATTTGTGATTAACGAAACGTGCTCAAATGAATCAATCAAGCATTTTTATTATTATGGTGTGTGCGTGTGTGCTGCACACACGCTTATCCTTTCAAGGGTCGCCAGCGTGCTGGAGCCTATCCCAGTTGTTTTCGGGCAGTAGGCAGGAGGACACCCTGAACCTGTTGTCAGCCAATCGCAGGGCACACAGAGACGAACACCCATCCACACTCACAATCACACCCAGCGACAATTCAGAGTGTTCCATTAACCTGCCACGCATGTTTTTGGAATGTGGGAGGAAACTGCTGCGATCGGCTGGCAACCGGTTCAAGGTGTACCTGGCCTACTGCCCCGAGACAACTGGGATAGGCTCCAGCACCCATCGCTACCCTTGTGAGGATGAAGTGGATTGGAAAATGGATGGATGGGAGGAAACCGGGTTACCTGGAGGGAACCCACGCGGGCACGAACAGAACATGCAAACTCCACACAGGAAGGCCGGAGCTGGAATTGAACCCCACACCACTGTACTGTGAGGCAAACGTGCTAACCAGTCATCCACCGTGCCACCCTATATATATATACTGTAGCTCGATAGTGCGCATCTCTCCAATAGAAGATGTTATACGGCGGTGCAATACGAATAGGTTTATTATAAAGTGGAGCGATTCGATTCAGCGGGATAATAGTTCAATATGTATGGCTGAGCTCGAGAGTGTATGATGCAATAAGTTTCTTGTTGTCATTCTCCAATATTGTCGTCAAATTGGATTTTTCATTTGTTTTTGTTTTTTTTCTTCAAAACTGCAATTAGCAACGCGTTTGAATTGATCCAGGAGCCGGTGGTTAACTGGTGAATGAATATGCAAACATGGATAGGCCTGGGCCGATACCGGCTTTATTGCCAATTGTCAGGTACTCGTGGCGGCTATCAATACAGTGCCAGCCACCGATTCTTCAGGCAAAGAAAAAAATGTGGCATAGAGTTAGTCCTCCTTGCTAGGAGTTGGTGCTATACAGCAGAAGTTTGACCCAGCTTTTTTGCCAATTGTCAGGTACTCGTGGCGGCTATCAATACAGTGCCAGCCACCGATTCTTCAGGCAAAGAAAAAAATGTGGCATAGAGTTAGTCCTCCTTGCTAGGAGTTGGTGCTATACAGCAGAAGTTTGACCCAGTGGTAAACCATCATATGTCATGAATTGTTCCAATCCGATCATATGATCAAAAATCAGAGCCTACCATGGGATTTCCAGCTGATGTGCCTCCCTAAAAACAGACTGCAAATTTGGAAGGCCCTGATGTTATCTCTGGTATGATTGGAAGTGAGTGTTCATGTTTCCTGACATCCTCCGTGATCAACGAAAACAAACAATTTGAAGGTGGAATAACAATCTGAGTTATTATTAATGGCATGATTGTTTATGTGTGTGTGTGTGTGTGTGTGTGTGTGTGTGTGTGTGTGTGTGTGTGTGTGATGGCAGAGAGTCTGTACATGGCACAGTTTCAGCAGAACGGGACAGAGGGGAGAAAGGATTGGGGGTGGGAGGGAAGAAGAAACCTGTTCCCTTTTTTCCTGTCTCTAACTCCACTCTGCAGTGCGTTTCTCATTGTAAAGTCATACCTGTCTCGTCATTGTTCTTTTCGGGGTGTGCCAGGAGAGCGAGACTGGGAGGTGAACAGCCCTTGACCGCTCAGGTATTTTAATTGAGAGGGTGGGGGGGTTTGGCAATGATGTTTCTCACAAATATCAGCCAGTTTCGTCTTTTAAGGGAGTGTAAGGAATACACACGAAAGATTGAAAGTTTTCTTGCTGCTGCATTTAAAGAGCAACCTGCATGCGGTCTTCCATCTCTTCCACCGCAAACCACGACCTGAAATGGCTGGCGAACAGTGCAGGGTGTACCCGGCTTTTCACCCAAAGTCAGTTGGCATCGTCTCCAGTTCGGAACACTTTTGTCAACGTCGTTCAAAAGAAACTTAACAGTTTCATTTGCTCTGGCCCATGACAGGTTACCGGATTGTTTTGCATTACGGACACCTGATTGTTTTGCCGGCTTTAATAAAATTCATAACATTCCCATCAACAACAAAATTCTTTCCGTGGTGATGGGCTTCAACTCTGAACATTTTTGTCAATGTCATTCAAAAAAGAAAGTTAGCGGTTTTGTCTGAGCTGACATTATAACAGGTACCCGATTGTTTTCCCATTATAGGAACACTTTGTTGACTTTGAGGGTGCGTAATATGCGGTGTCCTAAACTGAACTCTGTCAGCTGAAATAAACTTCAGCTCACCCGTAATGCTAATGAGGACAAGGCCAATTGAAATTGGATGCATCTAGTGTGTGTACATGACAGTGTTACTTTGCCCACAATGTTGTCAACTTTTTCCCAGAATGTGATGGACCAGTTCAACCCCAGCCTGAGGAACCTGGTCAACTTGGGGAAGAACTATGAGAAGTCAGTCACAGGTAACACACAGGACTCACTTTTACTTTTATTGATGGCATGTCCAATGTGGCAAACAAGTGGTTCGCTCATCTGCCTGTTCGAATCGCTCCTCATGCATTCCAGTGCATCTTTGCAGTAGTTTTCCTCAGGTTCTGTGGGGTTTAGCCAATTGCTTTTTTTCCCCAGCAAGTACTGCCACATCATGTTCAAATGTTGCGTGGTACTTGAAAGTTGACCATGGGTCAAAAATGCTCAAAAATCAAATTCTTCCATTTTGACGAGCATTTGAAGTCATTCGCGTGACAGTTCACGGTTTCTTTTGAGGTAACCTTATTACAGGTACCTGATTGTTCTGTTGACAAATATTAACAAATAGCACGTCTGCTTCACCGTTTAGAGGTTCTGGGTTCGAATCTTGGCGTTGGTCTCTCTGTGTGTACCTGATTGTTTTGTAGTACAGGTACCTGATTGTTTTGTTGACAACATTTGACGTACACATACACTGTCGTGAACCAGTGAACGATGCGCAATACGGTAGACACAATTCCAGTATGTGTAGTGTGTCTCACTAAAGATGTTTCAATATAATTTGTGATCCTCCCATACAGGGATGACTATCGCAGGAATGGCCTACTTTGATGCCATCACAAAAATTGGAGAGAACGCTACGTTGTCTCCAGTATCCCGGGAACTTGGTAAGTGGCGTGGAAGTGTAATTTCTTTCAGCCGTGAAACGACACCATCGTGAAAAGATTAGCATTCATGAAACACATTTCGAATTCTACAACTGCTCTAATTTTCAAAGCGATGAGAACGCATTTGCGTCTGATCCATCACGTTGACTCTCTTTGGCGCTAATTGGAGACAACATGACGGCCGGTGAATGTGTTGTCATTTCGTTTCCGTCTTGAGGAAATGGTCTTGTCGTCGTCGTGAACAATAAAATGACATTGTTCCTCTCCTTCACACCTTGAAAAATAGCTGTGCTATTGCAAAATTTTGAAGTGATGAAATGTCAGATGGAATTTGAAAAAGAGGAGCTGGAATGGGGTGTGTGTCTTCTGAGAAGAAGAAACAATGCAAGAGATGACCATAAATCACTCGGGGGGGGGGGCAGGGGGGCATACAGGAAATTCTCTATCATGGGTGGGGGGATAAGAGGTTATCATTCAAAATGTAGTTATATATTTTAATCACTCCGTTAATTATGACCCAATAGATTCCAAATGGGACAATTGAAATTAGCACAAAAATTGACCCATTCTTGGTCTAAATTTTTTTTAAATGTTGGCCAGTAGAAGAAATGTTTGTTGAGCTGTACATGAACGTTTTGTAAGCTACACACACACACACACACACACACACACACACACACACACACACACACACACACACACACACACACACACACACACACGAAAATACGGAGGTAAACTACAACCACAATAATAAATATCGGCTCTGATAGTGTCAACAAAAGCTTTTCAAATCATTTTAAGGGAAGACACTTTCATACAGTGCTTTGTATGGGATCTCATTAGAGTTTGGTTGGAGTGATAAAGTTGCATCTGGTGGGTGTATTTAATATTGGAGAAATGAACCTCAGAAAAAAAAAAAATTTAATGGCATCACGGATATTGTTTGCACTTCTATAGACCAGTGAGTAAAAGTGTTGGCACTTGAGTTGGGCAAGTTTTTCCAATGATAACGACTCTCCAAAGTGATCTTGTGCAAAAAAACGCCCAAGCGGTCTCGCACTCACTCCCCGCTTGCTGGAGCTATTTATCGAGAGTGTGTGAATTCTCTTGCAGCCCCGGTGCAGGCGTCATACAGCAAACACGCTGAATAAACACGAGCGCAGCAGAATGTCTTCTCGCCGTTGAGCCTTCTTTACTCCCTAGTTTGACTCACCCTAATCCACCAACTGTTTGTCTGTTTGTGGAACTCACGGGAGGCTCAAAGTGGAAGTGAAGTGATCATTTTCTGGGTTTTTTTTTTTTTGCTTTATTGAACTGCTTAGAGCAGCGCTGTGGCCTAGCGGTCTACCTCACATCTGAAATCTCATTTCGGGACCCAGTAATATGAATTTTAGGTTAATTGAAGACCTGGAAATTGTGTAGAGGTGTGATTGGCTGTTTTTCTAGATGGCGAAACTCTGCATATTTGAAGTTGAGCAAGAATTCACTTTTTTTTTTAACCTATCTTTTATGCTTTGCTTAAATATTGAGCCATTTGCTGCGTTTGTGTTAAAGCAAAAGCAATCAACCTTTTACTTTGGCGCCGTGTTGTCGCATCTTGGTGTGAAGGAACTGTGTTGACATGACTGAAAGAGTTCCACGGAGGGAAAAAATGGTGCTTTACTATCATAGAGTGGAATCTTGGCATTAGGAACTGTCAAGTGAGTTGAGTAGTTTTATTTGTAGAAAAATTGTGATTTGCTGCCATCTTATTGCGAAGAAACTCTTAAGTTGAGTTGAAGAGTTTGATTTTGACATCAACAGTGATTTCCCACCATCTTGTGGCATATTCGTGTCGAGGAACAGCAGTATGTTGAAGTGAGTTGAGGAATTTTGTTTGGACCAAAATAGTGCTTTGCAGCCAATTTGTGCCAGTCTTTTTAGGCAAAGGCATCACTTGTGGCCCAATAAATTCAGGTTTCGATCCTGTTAGAATTCACAAAATGGCATGATACTCTCCTCGGTGAGGTGGGCTGGTATGGTTGGTCTTGGATGAGCTGTACTTCGGGTCACACTCAGACTTTCAAGCAATTTATAAGAGTGAATGTGGTGAAATTCTAGACTGTTTAAAACTTTCAATTCCAAAATTAGCCAATAAATTTATGACAGGATCCGTCAAAATTCAACATCATCTTTGGATATAGTCTTTGTACCGGACCGTTCAGGCGTACCTAATGTCATGGCCCATCAGAGTCAACCTCACTGTATGCTTCAAATCCTCTTTTAGCGGGTGAACAATTCAAAGCTCCCCGTGCAAGAGGCCCTAAGTGGACTGCAGGGATTTTCCTTTCGTCTTTGAAAAGCAGCAGGTATTTAGGGACTGAAAATGTGAGCGGAGTAAGAGAATGGTGCAAACCACACCCCTTCCAGCCTTTCATTGTTCTCTTTGTCAAGCATCTTTTTTTAATTTCGGAAATATGGAGATACGTCATCAGCATGAGAAGAATGGTAATGTCAGATGCAGCTGTTTGAAACTCGGAGAAAGATGATTGAGAATGGAGGGGACACGGCGATCGTATTCCCCACAGATAGCTTTTAATGAGATGATTTAAACATTTTGGAGCTGTTTGATGAGTTTGTTTGACTGTCTAGACACTCGCACAATATTGGCGGTGCGCTCGTGTGTGTCACATGAGGAGCAGTTTGCCTTTTGGTCGTGCGTTTGAAAATCTTTATTAGCTCTCATGCTCTCTCTCACTTTTGAATATTGTGGCTTTTTCAGATCTGAAACATTCTCCGGCATGAACAGCGTTCCAATTTAGTAACCCGCAGTCATCTGATAAATTCGACATTGATGCAACCAATGTGTTTCTCTTCCGCCTATCTGTTTTGCTCTCTTGCGCCAACTGCCGCGATAACGGACAGAAAGATGAGAAAAAAAAGATCGGAAACCTCCTGCGGTCCACTGAGTCAATATGGATTTTGCCGTTTTTAATCTCTCTTACAACACAAAGGGGTGTGGCACGTCTGAGGCAACAGTCTCCAACGCCTGCCCCACGATGTATGATGGTGAAAACCTTTTTGGGAGCGTGACGCGCAAGAGGATGTAGTCATGTTGGAACACACACACACACACACACACACACACACACACACACACACACACACACACACACACGCACACAAGGCCTGCGTGGGCAAGCTCAGTGATGCATCTCATTGGAAGGCTCAGTGCTAGTTGAGAGAACACATGATATGTATACTCTGCACTTGGCGCACTGAGGAAGGACTGTCAAGGGTAAAGTAAACTTAGGAAGCCACTAACATTGACTCATATTGCACAATTAACCTTATTGGACACCGAATAGGTAGCGGTTGATTCATCACAGGACATTTCTACTACCGGAATGATATCATGCAATAAGAATGACATCGGCGTTGTTCGCTCCGCCTCCCCCCAACTATTAAAAATCCTGTTCGACTGACATTTGATACATGCGTACAACCTTTTTTTTTTTCTCCCAACTCACCTCAGAGCTGCAATTGAGATGTGCAATGTTTTGATAGTATTGTCCATTTATATTAATCAGCAACATCATTACAGGGCTCCAGACATACTTTTATTCAAATGCAAATCGACCTGCGAAGTAAATGTTCACATTTCCACTTAGTTTCATGGTATTACCGATAAATGGACTGAAGTGTGGAGCAGAGGTTTATCAGTAACTATAGCTATTGAATAACAATTCAAAAAAAGAACCTAAAAATTTTTATTTATTTTTTTCCCAAAATTCCAACTTCCTATTCAAACTACAGGATACTTTATACCGTGCTTGTACAGTGTAATATTGGATCCCCCCCATTTTTTTTTTATTAGAAACAGAGGCCTATTATACTATGTAATATTTTCTCATATTTTACAGAACGGGTCCCAATCTTTTGCCAAGTAAGGTGTCCATAATATTAGATACCCCTGCTCCGTACATCCAGTCTGATGTATTGCAGTACTCCACCAAGGTGAACTGTAGCTGGAATAGTAAATCATGCTGCGCAGGGCAACGTTTTTTATGCGCGCCAAGAATTGGTTGTCATTATATTTTATCAGCTCTTCCAGTTTTTTTTTTTGTCGAATGAGTAACCACGTAACTTCCTTTATTATAGGTGCCTTAACCCTTTCATGCACCCTGGAACCTGATAACATGATAAGCCGTCCACTGAAGTAACCGCTGTGCCTGAAAGGGTTAATCAGGGCCACCTCCCGCCTCACCCCCTCCCTTCAGGTTTTTACACCTAAATAAAAGGCTGCAGGTGCGCGCCGGCCTCGCTGACCCCATCCACCCACTCCTTGTCAGCCACCACGTTGACCTGTGCCGCAGCGGTCTGTCGAGTGGCCTGTATGAACTGTCGTACGCCGAGCACCGCCGCCGCCCCTCCCCTGTGGGACAGCACAAAGGCAGCATTTACTAGTAAATTCTGGTGACCTTCAGAGGGCAATGTTGTTGTAGCTGGACGCTACCTTTTAGATGACAGAAGTAGCGCTGTGTATCATCGCGTTTGTATGCTCAGAGTGAGGTCTGGGGGGGGGGCAGTGTCAGGTCGAAGGTACAAGAACGTGCGCGTTTATACGTGAATATGCTTATTTAAAATAATGCTTTTAATATGGTATATGAAGAGATTTGGGAGGGCGGGGGGGGGGCTTTTCCCCCTCTTTTCTTTGAACTTTTGTTTATCGTATGTTTTCCAGAAACAAAACCACAACAAAGCAGCGGAAATTTCTGTCCAACAGTGTTGATGTGACAAAGCAACGATTCACAGTTGCGCGCATGGAAAAATATGGAACATTTAAGAGCGATGGGGTCGTTTTGTGCTCACGAGCCACATTTCATTTTCATAACAGACGGCAATGTCAGTCATCGACTAAGTGAACAAACATTCAATTTTGTTTTGTCCTTTATAATTACAGTAAGTGACCAATGAATTATTTTTAAAGAACGTCATCGATGTTTTACAAAAGTATAGTTTTTAATTTATTTAAAAATCGGGAATTAAGATATTTTAGGAAATTCTCGTCATATTGTTTGTGGGCAGACCTCTTCTTTGACGCCAGAGTGGGGAATTTCTTTTGGGGAAAAACAGCAATGTCCACAGGCCCCTTAAGGGATCGCACATTCTCGCTACCTCGCCGCATATGCCCGCATACTGTATGATTCTGGACACCGCGCAAAGGTTTACATTAGTTCACCGTCCCAGAGTAAACCTGGAGTCTAGATTTCACCCCATTGTGATGGAGGGAGGGAGCACTACTGCTTATTTACAATTGTCCGCCGCCGTGCACGGTGTTGACTCACTGCCATTGTCTCGGTGCCCGTACGCCGCTCGATCTGTGGCGCAGCCTGGCTGTGAATGGAGACGGTTCTATATCGGCTCCCTCCCCACTACCAGAATCATACACGCAGATTGTTTTGACAGAGATTGACAGCTGTTCAAACACTGAAGGAAGATATGTCATTGTTGCCGTCTGCGAGGTTGTTGTGAACGCGAGCGTGATAAGCATACTGCACAAAAAAAATCAGCAATTTCACAGTGTAGTACTTTGCCGAGTTGTCTTTCAAAGGACTTTCGCGATTAACCAACGTTTGTGACTTTCTAGGTATGGTTCTGATGGAGATTGCCGATGTCCACAAAAAGGTCCATTTTGAGCTGGAGCAAAATGTGAGTTGCCCGAAGAGCCTTCGTCAACCACATCGAAGGCCTTTCTTTTGCGGGCTTGTGCCTAAAATCTATTTGGCTCACATCACCCAAAAAAAAAAAAAAAAAAGCGGCAAAATTTTAAAGAGTCAATACTTTGAA